AGACCCCACCTGGAGTACTGTGTTCATTTGTGGGGACCCCAACATAAAAAAACATGGACCTGTTGGAGAGAGTCCAGAGGAGAGCCACAAAATTAATCAGAGGGCTGGAGCACCTCTCCTATGAGGACAGGCTGAGTGAGTTGGGGTTGTTCAGCCTGGAGAAGAGAAGGGTCTGAGGAGACTTAATAGCAGCCTTCCAGTACCTGAAGGGGGCCTATGGAGAGATGGGGAAACACTCTTTATCGGGGGGGTAGGGATAGGACAAGGGGCAATGGGTGTAAGCTAAAAAGAGGGTAAATTTAGACTAGACATTAGGAAGAAATTTTTCACTATGAGGGTGGTGAGACACTGGAACAGGTTGCCCAGAGAAGCTGTGGATGCCCCATCCCTGGAGGTATTCAAGACCAGGCTGGATGAGGCTTTGGGCAACCTGGTCTAGTGGAGGGTGTCCCTGCCCATGGCAGGGGGGTTGGAACTTGATTATCTTTAAGGTCCTTTCCAACCCAAACCATTCTATGATCTGTGATTCAGTCCATGTGCTTGGGAAAAAATTGATCTAACCTGAAATCCCCAAGATGTGTATACTGTAGATGTCCTCAATATCAGCTGTTTCACATTAGACATATTCTCTCATTGCACTTTGGTAATGGCAGACAGGCTACAGGAATGTTTTTCACACAACTGAAGAGGATGACTGATTTGTTGTCTGCCAGCATGGCTACCCAGGAAGGTCCTACTCAAGGAGGCAGTCTTCTATTGTGTAGTATTTATGCCACTTTTCTGGAATAATCTACTGTAGAAAAAAGGTGCTTCAAAAAATTTTAACAAGAAGTATTGCCTTAAACGAATTCCTCCAAATAAACAGAATCATGGATTGAACATGACTTTACCATGTGGTCTTGTCCAGTCCCCAACTCAACTGACTCACCATAAATCCAGCCTCAAAGGTAGATCCAACTTTGATATTACATCAGATTGCTCAGGACTATATCCAGTCAAGTTTTGAGTATTTTGAAGGACGGAGGTTTTGTTGACTTGTCTTTCTTCAAATAGAGCAGTTGCCTCCTACATGTTGCCTATGCACAGCACAGGGTTTATAGTGTTGACACTTAGTCTAGCAAATCTGTGTCATCCCTTCCAGCTGTAAGTGTATTACTCTGCTACATGCTAAGTGTATCTGCAAGAGAATCTAGGTGCCAAAGTCTTCTGTTGTGTACAAAGGGAGACTTAGAATACTCGGGGTGGAATTCAGTGAGTGAGTTTAGGGAGAGATTCTCAATACAGATGCCATTCTCTAAGGTTAAGTCCAGAATGCAGAACCTGGCAGCAACACAGTTTTTCAAAGAAGAGATCTGTGGTATTTCCTGTCAGTTGGGAGAATACTCCAGTTCTGACCCCTAGCCTCTCTTGGAAGTGACTAAATTTTCTTAAAGTACAGGATAGGTACTTGAAATATCTGTATTGCTTACATACTGTTGAAATTACACGTGTCAATCAATCATGGTAGGTACCAGCACAACCTCAAAGAATATGACAGTAAAACTAAATTACAGATGTATTAATGTGAGTATTAATGGACTTTCCACTTCCAAACTGAAAAGAGTTCTTTAATTATTATCCTAAGGAGATACAGGTCTTAATGTAAGCCAGTTTTAAGCACAGTAGCTTTAGAAGAAGTATTTTGGGCCTGGTACTGATTTCTTAGCTATGGCAAAAAACATGTCTCAAGTTTTAGCGATATGCTCTAAACTAGTGCGGTTCAATATTTATTTATTTATCTCGTTATTAGTTTGTGGACCACACAAAATTGGGTGAGAATGTTGATCTGTTTGAGTGTAGGCAAGCCCTACAGAGCTGCACAGGCTGGATCTATAGGCCAAGACCAACTGTTCAACAAGGCACAATGCCGGGTCCTGCACTTGGGTCACAACAACCCCCTGCAACACTACAGGCTCGGGGGAGAGTGGCTGGAAAGCTGCCCAGCAGGAAAGGACCTGGGGATGCTGGTTGACAGCCAGCTGAATATGAGCCAGCAGTGTGCCCAGGTGGCCAAGAAGGCCAGTGGTGTCCTGGCCTGCGTCAGAAATAGTGTGGCCAGCAGGACTAGGGAAGTGATTGTGCCCCTGTACTCGGCACTGGTGAGGCTGCACCTGGAATACTGTGTTCAGTTTTGGGCCCCTCACCACAAGAAGGACGTTGAGGTGCTTGAGTGCATCCAAAGAAAGGTAAAAAAGGTAGTGAAGGGTCTTGAGAACAAATTTTATGAGGAGCGACTGAGGGAACTAGGGTTGTTTAGCCTGGAGAAAAGGAGGCTGAGGGGCGGCCTTATCGCGGCCTATGACTACCTGAAAGGAGGTTGTAGCGAGGTGGGTGTTGGTCTCTTTTCTCAGGTAACAAGTGATAGGACAAAAGGAAACAGCCTCAAGCTGCAGCAGGGGAGGCTTAGGTTGGATATTAGGAAACATTTCTTCACTGAAAGGGTTAGCAAGCACTGGAACAGGCTGCCCAGGCTAGTGGTTGAGTTACCATCCCTGGAGGTATTTGAAAGATGTGTGGATGTGGTGCTTAGGGACATGGTTTAGTGGTGGACTTGGTAGTGTTATGGTTGGACTCAATGATCATAAGTATTTTCCAACCTAAATGATTCCATGATTCTAATACAGAAAATGAAATAGAGCTGCTACAAAGATTGAGATAGATGACTTTATGTGGTTCTTGTGAGATGAAAAATTATCTCCTGAAATTAATTCTGAAGTTTGGACAGCTCATCTTTTAAAATAGATTAGAAAGTTGTCTGGAATAATTTATTTGCAGTTGTTTGGCTCTGCCTTCTAAATGATAGTAATTTTTTAAAAAGCATATGATTCAAGTTTTTCCATTGGGCACAAAAGAATCTAAGCTAGAAAATGCAAAGGGATGAGACTTCCCAGTGGGGGAAGAAATTAATCCCTCTGAGCTAGTCTTGTCTAAATCTGTTTCTGATCTTTTAAAAAGTGTACCTTTTCAGATTTAGTGAGATTACCAAATTAGGAACCAGTTAATCATAGGCCTGCTGACAGTTGTGTAAAAATTTAACTTTCCTTAATTAAACACAGTCTTGTAAAAGTACATGAAGTTATTCCCTCTGTCTGCAGTGACAATTATGTTCCTATGGCAAATATTTGGAAGAAAATTCTGCTAATTAAAAAAAATCCACATGAAACTCCAAATGAAATTAATTCCAGCCTTTGTTTTCTTCCTCATCTACTCACAATTCTAGACCTCAGTGCTTAATTATGACAGGTCCTCCAAATGCACGTCCAGCTTTGCTTCACCTCATCCATGCTTTCACTAAGAATGTGGGCTTGATGATCTGTGGCCACGTACATATGGTAAGTGTATTCTGTCTTTACTGTAAAGTGATCTTGTTTTTTGGGTTTTTTAACCTGTTTGCTTTTTCTTTATGGTTCTTATTTGTGTGTGGGTTCTTTGGATTTGTTGTTTTGTTGGTTTTATTTTTTTTAATGAAATCATAATTAGACATTGAGAAGTGACAAAAGAGAGATGTACTGGTAGGATCCACTTATGTATATGTCATGACTGTTCTAGTTTTGTATACTACAGGGGAAACTTTGTAAAATTAGTACCTTTGACCCTTTGACGCTTAAATGCTGAGGAAGCTTTGTAAGACTAAAATGAACATTGGATTACAGCCTGTGTCTCTTTTCTGTCCTTGTGTTATACAGTCTTATACACTCTTACATGCTTTTGACAGAGCAGTTTGACAAAATGATGTGCAGTATACAGCTAGATTTCCTCTCAGTGTTACTGTTTTAGAGAGATTGATTCCTGTGTAGTGTTTTTGCAAAGCCTGGTCTGAAATAAACCTTCTTGAGCAGGAAATTGAATATTTGTTTAGCTGATAGTTAAAAATTGCTCTTAACCTTTCTAGCAGTTTTTTATTCCTTCAGTTATCAGATCCATTTAATTGGCAGGTGGTACAGTAATGTGAAGAGGTATTTCCTTTCCTGTTCCCTTTCTACCCAGCCCCTAGTATTTCCCTAACTTTCCCTGTTCTTAGTCAGGATATGGGGGGTGGGTTTTTTTAGGGGTTGGGAGTGTGTGAAGGCTGTTCTGCAAGGATATAGTTTCAGCAGTTCTTACTACTTTAAAAAAAAATTATCTTCTGCAGCAGACCTGTAGAGGGTGGGGAGAAGGAAGCAAGCTTCAGGTAATTGTTCTTCGAAATCTTACTTGTTGTGAGTTCTCTTGACTGTGGTATAAGGAGGCTGTCATACTATGACCTGTGACAAAACTTCAGTTAGCTACAGAGAGGCTGTTGCATCTCTGATAAACAGTGGTAAATACCTCTTTGCATATTGAGATCGTGTATTTTAACTTCATATTTTAAGGCCAAACTTTTTCTGTCACATCATTAAGATCATTTAAGCAGCATAACTTTAAAGACAAATAGGTTTAAATTTACCACAGTTGCTGAATGGAATTGCTTCTGATATAATGAAGATGAGAACAAATCAAGTTAATGCAATTCACAGAACGTGCATCTGTTAAGCAAATATTGGTCAGTTTTGTCTTCAGAAAATTTGGTTCTTTTAATTCCTGTCTATATGTGAGTGCAAAGGACAGAAATTGAGTAATACTAGAGAGGTAAGATGTCACAGATGAAATTACTGTCTTTCAAAAGTAGGGCTGTGCTGAGAAAAATCAGGTAGCGTCACCCTTCTTGTAGGGAAGCAATTCTAATCAGAGATTTTCTGGGACCCTATCCTGTCTGTATTTAAAATTGCTTTCCTACAAGAAGGGTGATACTACCTTATTCTTCACTAACTCTGACCATTTGGTCTGAGGGTATATCCTTTTGCAAACTCTGTCCTCTTGCAAAAACTGGGCTACTGTATTCTTGATTATACCTCATCCTGTATTCTGCATTTTGATGACTAGGAGGAACACAATGATTTGTCCTCATGGAAGTAATAAAAAAGAAAGTATTTGAAGGGGAGATAACTGACTGGAACATTAAACTGCAGAAGTGACACTACTGTGACAAGGGCTTTCTGATCAGGATTATATACGTATAGAGGCACACTTGTACAGCTTGAAACAAATATTCCCGTAAAGCACAATATTAAGTCATCCTATATCTGTGTATGTTTTCACTAGAAAGCGCTTTCCTTTTAAAACTGCCTTATACTTTGGAGGATAACCTTGTGCCATCTGCTGGGAAAGTGGGTTGTGCTCCGCAGGAACAAGATTGCTAAAGCTTGAGCAGCCGTCTTCCTGAAAATGAGAATCTGGTCTGCTCTTTGCTGCTGATAATGCCTGGTGTTTTGTTGTTTTGGGTTTTTTGATAGTGTGGAAGCACATTTTGAGGTTCTTCAAGTTTAAATTGGACTCTAGCAATTAAATTAAAAAAAAAAGCCGGGGGGAGGGAGGTGCTTTGTGGCTACTCTTAGTTCTTATTCCCTCTCTTCTTTTTTTTGCCTTATTTTGAAAGGGTCCTCGAAGGCAAGCCATGAAGGAACTGTCAACTGATTTGGCTAAATATCAGCGATGGCTAATTAAAAACAAGATGAAGGCTTTCTATGCACCAGTGCATGCAGAGGACTTGAGGGATGGAGGACAATACTTAATGCAGGTACACCTCTCTTAATTTATTTTTTTTTAAATGAAAGCAGTGTAGATAAACATCAAAGTTGGAAGTGTTTTTATACTTTGAATTACTTTCATTTGTGAAGTTATCATAAAGCTTTGATGAAAAATACTTTTTCTGGTTAAGAAAATAATAGAACCTTTAGTTGTTTCAGTAACATGTTTTTTTTAAAAATTGCTTTTTGTTCTTAGGCTGCTGGTCTGGGTAGAATGAGGCCTAACACCCTTGTTGTTGGGTTTAAGAAAAACTGGAGACAAGGTGACATGAGAGATGTTGAAACCTATATAAATTTATTCCAGTAAGTAGAAAATGCAGTGGTGTAGCTCTTGTGTTCCATTTCAAACAATTTAAAAAAAATGAAAAAGCATTTCATGTTTGCTAATAAGTCAAGAAGATCTTAGTTGTATGAAGTCTCTTTCAGGTAGAGTAAGATTTTCCATATTGCTCATCCAGCAGTTTTCAATACCTCTTTTTTTCTGATACGGAAATTAATAAGCAAGTTTTTATAGCTTAAAGATATTCAATTTCTGTATAATAACTCTTTCTGCATCTAGAAGGAGTTGTGGCAGTTGTCTAAGGTTTAAGATTTACTGTCTTTAGAGAGGTGTGGTTTCTTATGTGCCAGTCTGCTGAATTCTTTAAAGCAAAGTTTCTATTGAAAGAAGGGTTTTCCTACACTACTTCTGTATAGATTAAGTGTAGTAGAGAATGAATCAACTCTTATGCTTAAGTTCTATCTTCACTAAACCTTACTGTCATATACAAAAAATATTCTAGTTACAAGACACACAGCACTTGACACCCAAAGTAATATGGTAGCCAAAAAGGAGATGGGAAGGGAAATCCCAGTGTAATATGATAGTACTGAAAGGCAGACCAGTTCGGGCTGAAAAATTTAATAGAATAACTTCTGCTACAAGTGCCTAAGAACACCAGAACTTGCTTCTTGCACTTCTGGAGAGAGTTTTTGTTTTCCTTATGTGCTACTTAACCCACTTCATTTGTGCTTTGCACTTCTGATTTACTGTGCATTTAAAAGAAAGAGAGGATTGGGGGATTAAAGGCAAAATTAGAAAAGGAAAATCATACCCTCCCACTCTCCTAGTTCCTTAAGAGAAAAGCAGGAGAACCAAATGCAGTGAAAAGTAAGGAAACTGTTGGTTAGTTCTTGGTTTCTCTTTTTTTTCCTATTTTATTTTGGAATGGCTTGTGCTGGAAGATCTGTCAAGGCCAACAAGTCATGTGCACATGCACATCCCAAAAGAGAAACCTCAGGAGGTAATAACTGTAGGTCAAGCATTTTTGTGGAAGATCTCTGGAAAACTGAAAGTTTCTGAAGCACACAATAGAAACACATCTAATTGGTACAGATTTAATAAATTAAATAATGAATTAAAAATGTTTACTAATGGACAAAACATTATTCTTAAATCAACCTCGATTTTTCTTGCATTTATCATAGAATATGTTGATACTTTGAACATCTCTAATCAAATTTTGTTACTTCTAAAGAGAAGTGTTTAATGAGTGAAATCTCAAGAAATTTCTGTCTGTGGAAATGACATGGGAGGGAGTTCTCTGATTTGTCATTGTTTGCGATGAAGCTTTTATATCTAAAGGACTGATGATTAATTGTTAATGCAAACTGTATGAAATGGTTAAGTTCATGTTTTTCTGTCTTTTATCTTGGGAATTTTTTTGTCTTTCATTTTACTCCACTTTTCTCAGACATTTATTCAGACTTTTTGCTTGTTTCTACAGTAATGAAGTTTCCCTCTTTTATGTTTTAAAAGAGCAAGTTCCTTCTCCATCAGATGTAATGAGAATAGACATATTATAGCTAACTTACAGATAATTTGATTCTAAATTACAACAAATTCATAGATGTGTTTAATACCCAAATGTTTTGTGAAGATGCCAGAAATGTTTACTTCTCAGATCAAGGAAATCTACTCAAATCCCTTTATTGATGAGGGGAGATAAAAATTTAGATTTCTCAGTGTATTTTGTCATTTATGCAGAACTTGACTGACCTGTTCATTTTGCTTTTATTTATTGCTGTTTACAGAGGGGAGAGAGGGAGGAGAGGGAATAAATACCCTTTCTATGTGTTTCTTTTCAGGATATGGTATTCAGTTCACTGATGTAGTTGATGGTTCGGAATTGAAATTGTAACACAGATTTATGATCCGCGAGTTTAAATGGCAGTGTTTAATCACTGGAATTTGTTCAAAGAGGGTGTGTAAAGTAGGTCCTTCGGGAACGAAAATGTTGTAAGATTTTAATTTATTTTATTTTGTTTAGTGATGCCTTTGACGTTCAGTATGGTGTAGTTGTCATCCGCCTAAAGGAGGGCCTGGACATTTCTCACCTTCAGGGCCAAGGTAGGATTTACTTTGTTTTGTCTGGTGAATAGCTGTTCTAATTCCCTTTTAATACTGCTTTCTGAAAATATGAAATTAAGTTATTAAAGAAAACCAAACCAAAATACCCCTCTTATAGAATAAAAATCACAGAAGTTTATCAATACTGAGATGTAAAATAAGTATAACCCATGTTCACCAACAGAACTTGTTTTTCTGTGTGTTTCAACTTTCTGTATTTGTAAGCAATATATAGTTGCTTCCAAAGGATTTACTATTTTACTGAAACAAATTATTAAAGAGGCTGCCAAATTGCTACCGGGTATTTGGGAGCTGAGTCTAGAAATTCTGAACATAACAACAAATGTTGCATGATCCATGAATGCTGTGGGTCTAGTGTGGGTTGCCAACCCCTGTGCACACTAGTTTAGAGACCTCAGCAGTTAGTCTGTCTCAGGTTTGGAAAGGTTTTCTATTTTAAGTATAGAAGACTTGCTTATGCTTTGTAGGTAGTGGTTTTAAGCCAAGTGGTATAATTTCAGTTTAATTTCAAGCAGAATAATGAAGGAAGCCTGTGAGCTTTGGTGACAACTGTGTACTGAATTGATAACATCTAATTTGTTTGTAGCTTGCTCCATACTATGTTGCTACAGTGAGAAAGAATGCTTATGACACAAACTCTGTAGGGGAGCATCCTACTGAAAGAGGGGAGGGTTGTTCCACCACTGGAAACATATGAATGTCTTGAGATTTGCAGAGAGCCTGTGACTATGCAGGAGGGCAGAGGAGTATGAGAAATGGCAAGGAGCGACTGTGCAGTGTGAAAACAGCACTGCTGAGAAGACTGGGTAATATAACACCAAGCTGTCATAAGAGTCTTAGTATTCTCTGGGGACTGTGAATTTGCTTTAACTTTGACAGCTACCAAGTAGTACCACTAAAGCCAAACCTTGAAAAAAAAAAAACTTGTCTGTGAGACATAGTTGGCCTGGGCCTTTTCAGCTCATCTTTCTCTTGAGTTAGAGTGGAAATGTGAAATGTTTCACGAAGAGATTTTTTTCCTCCTGGTTGTACTTCCTCAGTATTGGCTAACTCTGTTTTATGTTAGCCTGTGGTAATGCAATCAAAAATCCCAAAATCTGGAAGGAAGTAGCAGGAAATTGCAGCTCTGCTTAGAGGAGGAGCCTCTTTTTAGTCTGAAGCTTTTGTTGTTGTTTTTTCCTGTGTTTTTTTTTTTTTCCCCTCTTTGCCAAGCATAACAGTTCCAGTAGTATTTAACCAACTGTGAACCATTTCAGTATAGTCACATACCTCTGATACCATTTGGAACCAATAAGTGGTTTATAATGTGTTTCTTTGCTTTCTTAAAGAAGAGTTGCTGTCATCCCAAGAAAAATCTCCATGTACCAAGGATGTCATAGTAAAAGTGGATTATAGCAAGAAGTCTGAGACAGACACTTCTATAGCTTTTGCTCCGTCATCTAGTGAAAGAACTCCCACTTTACATAAAGGTAACTTTAAAGTGTATATATATAACCACTTTACATGAAGGTAGCAATTAAATGTGAGTTCTTTCTCTCTCTCTCTCATTCCTTCTTCCGTTCTTTTCTCCCTTCATCAATTATTTAAGGAATTTTTATGTCTGTGGAACAAAAGTGTCATGCTTTTCTAGCCATTGATGTCTGATCATCTAAGTACTTTGGTTTAGATCTTACGAGTATGTAAAATAAACCTTTCACGCCTAGTCTTCTGAATGAAACAGGTGATAGACAGTGACCTACAATGGAGTTTCTTTGTTCATGAGTTTGACAGGCATTAAAAATCGCTTGAGAATTGTGCCCACACATCTATATATTAAGTATGATTTGAAGGCTGCTAAATTTATGAGGGCTTTTTCACCTCAAACTAGAATATTATATGCATGTTAAAAGACACAAATCATTCAGGATACTTTGACATGACAATAAGCAACTTTCCTCTTCTTTTTAAAGTAAAAGTTTGGAGTGACTTAATAGTTAAGTGAGCAATGTGATTCTTTTTTTTTTTTTTAAGTACAAATAGATCTCAGGATCTGGTAGACTGCATTTCTGTGCTTTTTCTTTGTATGAAAATCCATTTCATTCTACATCTTTATTTTCTAATTTTTTTTGTATACACTAGTAGTGTTTTCATTAACATCACAAAGGAAATTAACCTTTTTATTTTGTATCTTTAAACATCTTCCAGAGGAGGACGAGGATGGAAAGACTCCAACACAACCACTGTTGAAAAAAGGCAGGCATTTTCCACCTTTTTGTGTTAAATCATTCTTTTGCATTGTTAATTTCAGTTTTCCTTTTGTACTCCTTTCTACACATCTGTATGGGAGTGAGGAAAATATCAACCATGCAGTGTTAATTTGTTTCTTCATATCTGCTTTGGAATGTGCTTCATCTTTAGGGATTAGGCTATGGAAAAATGCAACTTGGTGGAAATTTCCTAGAACAAGTTGCTGCTGAGAAAGGATTGTGCATGTGTCATAAGATATGAATGTTGGATTTTATTGTTTTTCAACTTTCGTTCTTAAGTTTGATGTGTGTTCAGGAGCTTGCTTAGTTCTCTGTGTCTCAGGTATCTGTCTGGGACCTTACTTGATTTAGGAGTAAGGGAAATATTATCGAATGGTGTAGTAGAAGAGCTCCATCTGTCTGTTCAGTCGATCTTCTAAAGCCATAGTTGTTCTGTTATTTGGAATTGTTCAGTAGCTTGCAAATTAAGGCATAATATAGCCACTCAGTGAGATTAACGTCTGAAATAATGCATCTTGGCATTTTGAGAGATGAATTGAGCAGTTTTCACTTCCTGGTTTATTTCAGACTTTTTTGAGCTTAGCAAGTATTTTTGCCTTAATTAAGATTCATCAAACTTTTTTTGACTTTTCTTCATAATTTCAAGAGCTAGAAGCTGTTGTGTTTTAATAATGGAAAGGGAGATTACATCTTGAAGCACAAGATGGCAGTTTGGAAGAAGTCCCAGTATGCTGAAAAGTAGCGTATTAATGTAAATCAGTCACAGATGTACTCTAAAAATTCCTAATAAAATAAGGACTGAGATGAATATACTCCTGGCTCTTGTCCAAACTGAGATTTTAAGTAAGGGAAATGGGTTAGTTATTTCTGTAGTTTAAAAAAAACAACATTTACCTGTGTTAATCTAACTGAAAATTCCATTTGTTATCTTGTTCTCAGCAAATCCAATAACTTTGTTACACAAAATAGTCTATATTGTGCTTTGGAGCCTTGCACATGGAAAACAGTACTTGTTGCAAAAGGTAGAATTCCAATACGCAGAATTCCAATATGCAGAACTAGGTTTTATTTTCACCACATGCTTAAAGAAAAATAGGTTTAAGGAAAGAAGAAAAGTGCTTAGGGCATGGTATTTACTTGTAAATTAGTATCTGCATGTTTTTAGGCAAGTTTTTTGTCATATGCAAGAGGTAGTAATAGTGTATGACCTAATGCTCTGAAGTATGTATTCAAGGTTAGTTAAACTCTCCAGTCAAATGACTGTATAAAGATCTTACATATCCTTTATTTCTGAAGTGTCTGCTAAATTATATTTAAATCTTTAACAGCTGAAGTTAGAGTTTGCAGACTCCTTAAATATAGCTCAGTTTATATCCACTCAACCAAAATTTGGAGTTGGGTTGGAAGAAAAAAATTTTATTTCAATTTAGAGTTATCACAACATACTAAGAAGTTGCATTTGATGAATTTCAAGGTGATTAAGCAAAATACTTCAAAAATGAAGTTTCACCATACTTTTTTCCAGATTCAAAAAGCCCATCTTCTCCTTTAAACTTGGCTGACCAAAGACTTCTTGATGCTAGTACTCAGTTTCAGAAGAAACAAGGCAAAAGCAATATTGATGTCTGGTGGCTCTTTGATGATGGAGGTAATGTGCTCTATACTTCAAAAACAAATGTTGTGAAAAAAAATGGCATGACTTTTAATTAATTGTTAATAGATATCTTTCAGTCAGTTCACATATAGATTATAAATTTGTACTATTAAACTCTTGACACGATGCTATGTTTTCTGAATCATTCCCAAATTCTGATGAAAATGCAGGTTTGACACTGTTGATTCCGTATCTTCTTACAACCAAGAAGAAGTGGAAAGACTGTAAGATCAGAGTGTTCATTGGTGGCAAAATAAACAGGATTGATCACGACAGAAGAGCGTAAGTTTACCTTCAAAAATTTCATTTCAAATGCTAATAGAATATGTTGCAGAGTAGATGACTTTCTCTTCCTAGTAGCCTTCTTTAAACTATACTTTTGTTGAGGTGTAATTGTATTCTATTCATGTTCTCCAAAAAAAGGTTCCATTTCCCCCAGATTGTTTTGGATGAGATACCTCAAGTTAAACTAATTTTTTTCTGCGGCATGGCACTGGAGAAATGTCTCACACTAACATTTTCTTTTTCAAATATATTCCGAGGTTGTCTTTAAAGGGAGAGCTCTTCTCTTAGTTTTGTGGTTTTATTTTTTTTTTCTTTTTCCAAAGCAGGCTGTTGATTTATAGCTGTATGCCAGGTCACCTTGAGGTTGTTTTTTTTCTGTCACATTTAAGTTGCCTTTTTTTTGTTGTTGTTACCAAACACCTGTCTGTTCAACCTGTGAAATAATGAAAAATCTGATCATTCATAAAGACTTGTTTTTTCCGGTACAGGATGGCTACTTTGCTCAGCAAATTTCGGATAGACTTCTCAGACATTACGGTTCTTGGGGATATTAATACTAAGCCAAAGAAAGAAAAGTAAGTCTCAGAAAACCCAACGTGTTAGTTGAAATCTTGATGTCTTTCATGAACTTGGAACACTTGATTCTTTCTTACATAACAGTTGTGATAGTGTAGTTCCTATGACATCCAGTGTTTCATGAAAATGCAGGAAATAAATTCAGCAATAACTCTTATATCCAAGAAGGCAGAATTTTGTATTTCTTAAATATCTGTCCCTTAGACTGTAATATTAAATTTAGAAAAATACAGTTTAAAAATATTTTTCTGGAGCAATCTTAAAAAAGATAAATGCTCGCAAAAAATTAAATGGTCTTTGTCTTGCTTGGAGTCTTAGTTTAATGTGACAAAAGCTTGGTCCTCAAATAGCCTGATCAATTTTTTATGTTTTTTAAGTTGCTTGGACTTTTAATTTATGCAGGAAAGATCATACACGTGACATATCTGATTTTCAAGTTTAAAAAATATTAATTGTAGATGGCTTTCAATACAAATTTATAACAATGTGTAGGATCTAAAAATGTTATCCTCCTTTCCCTTGAAGTAATCTTTATGTTGAAGTTGTAAAAGTATCTTTTACATGGATATTCATGTATCTGAATAATTTGACATGTCATGCAAGTTTGGAAATACTGGTTTACAACTGACGTAAATAGTAAATGCTAATATGCATTGCTTTGTACCCTGCTTTTTAGTCACCTTTTCTTAAATGTGTAGAAGATAGCAAGCAATGAAATGGTAGAGGACTTCTGTCACTCTGATGCTTTTGAATGTCTTTGCTCCTGGGAGCCTGCTACTGTAAAATGTGTAAACTTAGAGGTAGCATGCATTTATGCATGAAATGCTGAGATTGTAAAAGTACATGGAGTTACTTTTATTTCATAGAAGTGATCCATTAATTGTGTCTTCCAATAGCATTTTTTCTCTCTCTGTGGATATATTCCCCACAGTATATCCAAATCCTTTCCAAGATACCAGTTGGCATTAACAAAAGCTATAAACTAAGTGGAGAAAGATGACTTAACAGTTGCTGTGCTGTATAATAGAATATTGGTAATACTTCTCCATTTTGTTCAGCCAAAAAATAGCAGTTTTCACCTTTGATGAAGGTGAAGTCGTTTTATCAATTAACTTCAGTAAAGACCACCAAGGGAAGAAAAACAGATTTTTTTTTTTGCAGTAGTGTGAGGGTTTTCTGGAGGAATGGGATCACCCTAGGTAGAAAATAGGCATGGGGGAGTGTTTAACTATAGGGAAGCTAACATGTTTCACGTACTGGTATTACAATGTATCCTAAGAGGTATTCCTTAATGTTTGTTAAACATTCCCCACTGTGATTTGAAACCACAGAAGACTGGCAATACCTTGTCATCTTTTTAAAAACTATTAAAATAGCATCAAAGTGCAGTTGTTTCATTGGATGTAAGGCATGCATTTCAATATGTTCCACTAAAAATCTTGTTTATTTTTCTCACATCTCACATGCTGGTGCTATTTAAAGACTTTTCATAACTTGTGGCAGCCTTTGTTTGCTGTTCAAGTACCCTAACGTGGGCAGAGAAAGTACAGTAGTGTAAGTTGTTCTTTCTGGTAGAAATGAATGCCTCTTTGGTCTTCAGGAGGTTTTCTCCCAAAATACTTGCTAAAGTTCAAGTAAATTCAAAGTAAAACCTCATATTCTAACAACTACAACAGGAGGACTAAACAAGATGTCTGTGGTTATTTGCATTTGAATGTGGCTCTTGAACTATATTGGGAAGATTAAAAAAAACAAACCCAAAATTAAAATATCAGAGTCAAAATCCTAATGGCACTAGCATGCGACTTGATAGCTATTTTTTTGTGTGACCTGTAAACTGCTTCTCTTTCAAATTTAATTCTGCAGAAGCTACTGTTAGTTACTGTACATTTTCCAAGGTAGTACTCTTCAACTTTCAAACAAGTATCGTAAAACTCTAGCAAAAGTTGTTTGGTCTTTTTTTTTTTAAACTGGCTAAAACTTTAATTGCATGATGAATAGTGAAAGCTCTTACAGATGTCCCTAACTGTTTGTTGAATTATATTGTCTGTGTATAATCATAGCTGATTTGATGTTCTAACTGCAATTGTCAGTGAAAAAATGTCAGTTCACTTTATTTTTACATGGTAATACAACTTTCTGATATCATGAAAGTCATTGCTGACATATTGGCTCATACCTGTTTTAATCTGGCTGTTCACTTAATCATTCCAGTATTGCAGCTTTTGAAGAAATGATAGAGCCCTTCCGACTTCATGAAGATGATAAAGAACAGGAAGTTGCAGATAAAATGAAGGAGGATGAACCATGGAGGATAACAGATAATGAACTGGAGCTTTACAAAACAAAGGTTCTGTGTTCTTCAGAGTGTTATGTTAAATGTTGTTAAACTTTATACTCCTACTGCATTTGCAGATGTGATATCATTGAGTTCATTCTTGTTATTCTTTCTTCCATAGCTGTTTAGATTAATAGCTGATGGAAAGCAGCATCTAAAACCGTTTAGATGGTTCACCAAATAAAAAGAAAAGAGAGAATGTTTCTGCATTCAGTAGCAGGGGGGGAGGCTAAACTACTTTCCTACACAGTTTCAGCAGTTAACTTGGAATAATATAGTCTATATTCAGCTGTTTGTTGACTTTTTTTTACCAAATAAACATTTTTTTGCTTTGCTGTTAAAAAAAAAAAAAAAAGGCACAACACATTTAATTGCTCCTTAGCACCACAATTACAGGTTTGACATTTTTCCCAAGCAGTTCTTCACTATAAGAGACAGAGGTATTCCTTCTCAAGTGCTTCCATGGAGGAGGCTCAGGTAGCATCCTGTAACAGGATTCAGATACAGACAAGTGTCTAAAGAAAGACTCGTTAAAAGTTTCAGTGATCTGAAGTTCTTCAGGATGGTCCCATGTATATTCTACCCTTATCTTCTTTTTCTTGTCTGTTTTTATACTTCTGTGAGGATTTGCAGTAGAGAAGAAATGGGAATGGTAGGTTATTCTGCATTGTAAGTGGTGGGGGAAAAAAGAATAATAAAAATTAAAAGGAGGAATCAGTTTAACAGGTAGGTACAGATTGACTGGCAGCTGCTGCTGAGATCTGCATATTAACAAAGGGCTGGGGGAGGCAGATTTTATAAAATACAGTTCCTTTATAGTTAATGAACTTCTTGATGCCTTGCTGTTCCTCATGTCTACAAACACTGCCAAAATTAACTTTGAGGTAACTGAAGTGGTTTATTCTTTTGTCTGCTGACAGCCTAATTGTGTCCGCAGAGGCTAGCCTGCAGGCTAACTAGACTTCAGGTCATCTGAGAACAACAGATCTAAGAGAAATGGTTAACTCAAAATATTTCCTAGAAAGTTAATTCACATCAGAAAACTACTGAGGAAGCTACCTCAGATGTTAGGACAGAATAGGGTAGCAGGAAAAGGGAGGCCCATTATGGAGATAGGCTTACCAAATGAAGATGGCTCTTCACTTCTGTAAAACCTGCTCACTATGAGCTTCTAGGATGTAGTTAGAAGAATCTTGAAGAGATCATAAGCTATTGCTTCCAGGAGCAATAGGGGATGGTATCGTTATCAGAGGAACTACCTTAAATTTAGCTTTCATAGTCCTTGGCTTATTTGCACATTTTAAGCTTACTGCTTTCTTCTCTCCCATCCTTGTAACCATAGGTATTTTTGAAAAGTAAACAACTTGCCAAACTGAGATGGAAGTACATGCTTTATGTAAATGACTTACACCAATTGATCATAACTGCTTTTCATTTTTCTTGAATAAATGAACTTTTTGTAGTTTTATATAAAAAAATAGCCTCCTAACAGTTTTCACTTTGTAATTCCAGACTTATCGGCAGATTAGGCTAAATGAGTTGCTGAAAGAACATTCAAGTACAGCTAACATAATTGTCATGTAAGTAAATGATTTATACTGTTACCCTAGTTGATACGGAACTGTAACTTGAAATAGAAATATATGTAGATACAGGTTGCTTCTGGTGCTGCTTTAGGTGATCACCTCTACATTTATAGTGTGGCTCCCAGTTCTCACATTCCTTCTGTTCCTGCATGCCAACTGTTCCCCTTCCTTTCAGGTCCTTACTTTCAGTTCTTTTTTTTAGGAAATCCCTCTAGATAAATTTAATCATCCTGACAATGATTTCCATGGAATTACTTGTGGTGTAAACAACCAGAACGCAGATCGTAGGTTTCTTTGCTGTGTTTTTCTTCAGGAACGTGCTTCAGAGCTCCATGACAAGTGAAGTTTGAGTAGGGTAAATAGAGTAGCTTTTTCGAAAGAAAAGAGTATGGCATGTTTTGGAAGGACTGAGAAGGAATATTAAACTGCATCAACCTGGCATAGTAAGAAAAAGCTGTATTTTAAAATCTTGAAGAGTCTTTAAAGAAACTGTCTTCAGCTGAGAAGAATTCTTCATGAAGTTACCTGAATACAAAATGGTGTTACGTGGACAAAAGTGAGGGGTAAATAGGTGTAAAGGCCCGTGGTGCTTAAGATACAAACTCTCAGCTCATTAACTGAATTCTGAGGGGAAAAAAAAACCCAAACTAAAAAGATTAGGAAATTTGACTTACTATCTACCTCTTTGCAGAATCATACTTTCATATTTATATCATGTGACTTGTACTCCACCAGGTTTTTTTAATTGTTGATTTTTATTTTTTTTTTCCTTCTGACTTGTAGGAGTTTGCCAGTTGCACGAAAAGGTGCCGTTTCTAGTGCATTATACATGGCCTGGTTAGAAGCTCTTTCTAAAGATCTACCGCCAATTCTCCTTGTTCGTGGGAATCATCAGAGCGTTCTTACCTTCTATTCCTAAAAGTACTGCACATGGGACAGCTATGATGAAATATGGTACTTCAGTGCCCAGGGGAGAGTGACTGACATGGTCTATAGTTTATTAATATCACAAAGGCAAAAAGTGACTCTTCTTTCACTATTTCACTGACTTGAAAGCACACAAGGAAAGTCACTGTATTCCTAAAGTTGTGACAACTTCAGTTTTATTCTATATTTTCTGTAATTTAATCTTGCTTAATGGGGGAGGATTCCTTCTTAGATTGAAGAACAAGACAAGCTTTTTGTTTGCAATTTGAATAGCAGCAATAAAATGTTTTATTTTTGATCAATGAAAGGATTATAGATTTATAAAACCTTTTAGCCTTGAGGTGCCTTCTGAAATTAACCAAATCTCATCCATACATCCTATTTTGTAAATTTATATAGAATGTCAAAATCTGCCTTCAACTAAGAGTTTAGATCAGACTTCCTTTAGTTTCTAATCTCTTCCATATTACAATAAAAATGCTGCTTTTCAGTCTTCCATTGAGCTATTAGTTCTTAGTACTGTATGTTTTCTATTGTCAGAAAGTTTTTGGTTTTTTTATTATTATATCTGTTAGATTTAAAGGTAAGAATTGGGGCAGGTCGTTTGAACTAAAACAAATTCCTGATGTTGTTGTCAAGACTTTGTACTGCTAAATTTTGTTAAAGTAGACCTAAGGATCCTTTCTGCTAGTAGCATTTTCTCAAATTTTACAATATGTACTACGTGGGCACCAGTCTGAGATACACAGCTAATGTTAGCTACCTTGGCGAAGGACACTGTTCAGTCTTTGCTCTGTAGCTCTAATATAAAACAGGATTCATCCTACTGACTGAGGCTTTTTATCTTACTACAAATGAGAAGCAAAAAGACCTGTCCTAGTTCTTGGCCTATGATGTTTTGGTGTCACTTTCAACTTACTTTGAAACAAAACTCAACTTAAGGCTTGAATGGGGATAATACAAGCAATGTGATGCTATCTAACAGAAAACAGTAAACACTATGTGAAATCTTGCTATCCAACATGAAATGTAAATGCTACAGTTCTCTTGCATTTTTCAACAAATGGTTAAAAGGACCACTAGTTACTAGGGGAGATGTTTTGAAGTCGGTTCATTCAGTTGTCAGAAAATACATTTAGTCCTATTAAATAATACTCAGGTTTGCTCATTTAGCAATTTAGATCTATTCCATACATCCTACTTTATACATTTTCTATGTTTAATAAGGAAACTGCCAATCTCGTGTGCCCTTTCATTGTGTATTTTGAAAACTTCATCATTTAGTCTATTATGAACACCTACACAAGAAATTTCACTTCAGCCTTTGTATAAAGGTTAGTAATGTGAACTGTTTTTCAAATTCCTAATACATTTTGGATAGAAAGGATTACCTAAAAACATTTCACAAGCTTTTGATGTTAGCATTGGATATGCTACTGTGTCAGTTTACCAATGGTTGAGTGACTTTCGTTTAAGGATATACAGAAAAGGTGTGGTTTTATGCTAAATACAAGATAAAATGGAAATGTAACTGTTCTTTTTTGAAAGACAAAGTATGACCATTGTGTGGCAAGGGAGAGCTTCAAGTTGTGATTAAAGATAACGATATTCTACACAGTGCAGTATACACTGCTGTCAAGTTCTTGGTAAACTGCAAAAAAACTTTTTTTGCCGTTTCTGTCAATTGGATTTGAGACTATTGAATTATTTCACTTTAAAAAAAAAAAAAAGAAAAACATACATGCATGTTTTGCTGCTAAGTGTGAGATAACTGATGCCAGCATGAATCCAGCTTGTTATGATGAATATTGTAAGATCAGACAGTTTGCAATAACATTGCTGTTTCCTTCCAGGTGAAGAGATGGACATCAAACTTACCAATGTATCTGTCACAGGTTTTACAGTGTTTTTGGGGGATAAGGATGTCACATTGTGAATATGGAATCATTGCCATGTTTCTTCTTGTTTTGTGGGTTACATTCTTTTGAACAGATGGACAGTAAGGCATGGACTTAGTGCTGCTATCTTAAAAAAAAATTAAAAAAATGTGCACAGGTGCACTTATTTAAAAGGTTTTTTTTGCCCATTCAGGAAACTATAGCTTGTGATCTGTAACACAGAAACCAAATGAAGTGTGTGTATACATGCATATATGTGTATAAAATTATATAAAATATATCTAAATATGCATATGGGGATAGTTAAGGTAATGTCTGTGAAATGACATTTAGGATGCTTTTCACATGCACTCTCAGAAGTCCACTAACGCTAGGCACAAGGTCAGGTTTCGAGATTATTTGCTACATTAAAATTTCAACAGTGGTAATTTTTGCAACAGATATCAGTTGGTGGCTGTCACTCCAACTTCTGCTTTGATTTTGACGCCAAATTTAGTTTTGTTCCAATCATTGTTAATTACTTGAAAAATGAAATCACTTACACACAGCGATTCATGCCTTCTTTAGATTAGATTTCTTTGTATGGGTTTAGAAAGACTAATAGCTGGAGAAAATCAGTTATTTATTTGTTCACTTGTATTTAGGTTTCCTTTTACATACATTCTTTTTATATGCTTTTCTGACATTACATATGTAAAAATAATTTAAAGATTTGAGCGTTAGTGGGTAATGGCCCACTTGGTTTGAAGATGTAAGATTTGATACTGCAACTGTCACACACAAATGCTTTTCTAATGTTTTAACGTAATTATTGCAGTTAATACTTTGTACCAGGGGGATGTCACTGCAATAAAAGGAAGTGAATTCAGTACAATTGTCTTGTCTAAAAAAAGCCTTTTTTTTTTTTTATTGCTGGGGAATAGGGAATAATCTTCACCGTTTTAACAGATTAATGCTGACAATAGTTCTGATATGTGAATATGGTCATTGCACGCATCTCATACTTAACTTTGTTCTGGAATTTGCATAGGACCAGGAGTAGAAGTTAAAGCCATTCTGGTGTCTTATAAAGGAGAAAATTGTTTTGTTCTAGGGGGCAATATTTGCTGCTGCTGCTTTAGGAACCGCAGGGGTTGCATAGGGAAAATAAACCTTGCTTTGCTCGCTGAAATTTGTCGTGACTGGCCAGACACTGCAGACCCCTCTGCAATACATGGAGTTTAACCGGGAACGTTAGTATCTCAAACCTTGTTCCTGTTACATAGGCAATGTGTTTTGCCTCTGCAGAGCTGCAAGCTGCCGGCTTACCTCCCTGTTCTTACAGCGCGGAGAGCAGAAAGCAACCCTTGCTCTGCTCTTCCTCCCTCCCAGCAAAGGCTGGCTTTACCCCTGCCCCCGGCCCTGTGCTTGCCTTTCTCAGCCGGTGTAGCCACGCTCACCCCCACGCCCCCCTGTCGCGATGGACGCGGCCAGCATTACAGCCCCACGCGATATAAACTCCGCT